GATACCCAAAGTTCTTCAGCCTTTGCCATGAGTCATCATAGATAACACCCAGACCAGACATAATCATAATTTGTTGACTATACATTTTAGATACAGTAGATAGACCCTCCTCCTCCACTCTGTGTTATTGTGTGGACCTTCGCCAATGTGCGTGTGGAACTGAATTGAAATTTGAATTGAAGTTGGAAATTGGATGTAGAATTCCCGTTCCCCATTGTCACTTAATTGGGGACAGCAATACTTGATTCGTCAACAGATTACCATCTTTATAAAACTTGATTATGGTTTGTATTGTGATTTAATTTGGCATCTCCATTAGTTTGTCTTCACATTGCATTGTGCGAGGTCTTTTGAGTCGTAAGAGGAAGTGTTTTTGAGTTGAGAAAGGGATTTATAAATATTGGAAAACTAAAAACTGCATGGATATTTGCTATACAAAAGTTAGAAGAGTTAAAACAGCAGCACGTACATATTGAAACAGGAAGAACTTTTAGGCATCAAATCCGCTTACAAGATCCATAAACCATATCAAATAGAGAGAAGTATAAACTCCTTTCTCCTTTATTCTTACTCAGAAGACAAAGAAGCAACTGTTAGGCACTAAAAACCAATCATCCCCCAGCAAACAAAGGGCTGCCATCCCCCAATGTTTTCTGTACCCACACTTTTGGCCCCCTCCACCTGGTATTTGAATATCAATTCAATTTCCTTGATATAAAATATAATTTGAAAACAGGAAGTTGTGCACTTTACCTGGTGCTATCTGTGGCTATCACTCTGGGCAATCGGCCATGTCCGTGTATGTGTTTCAGATGCGCCTGCTGCGGCATCCTTCTGGATGGATCCTAGATTTTTCCACCAAGAAACGGGGCTGTGCAAATGGTATTGGCTGCCAAAAATCCACTCTAATTTCTTTGTTTCTGTTTTGGGGTGTTGGTTGTGGGTGACTTAACAAAGACAAATGTTGACGGCGGGCGGGTTAATGACACCAAAGGCAAGGCAGGAAAGCCTTTTGAGAGCGGTTTGAAGCAGGTTTACAGGCGACTACCATTTGTCCCGAAATTAATCACAATTAACTTTTCGGCTTTATACAATTTCTTTAGATATGTGTTTTAAGGGATATATATTTTCTGAGTATACGTATTTTCTCTGAGCTGCTGCCCCGTACTTTATATCCTCTACAGTTTGAGTCGCGCCGCAGACTAATCCGGCCGGCAAGCCCCAACAAAGTTTGGAGCTCTGTTTCTCTCTCTTTCGGCTGTGGTTCTGTGTGGAACTGCATCTCGAGTGCACTCTTCGGTTCTCTCTTAACTACTGCACTCATGCTGCTAAATGAAGAGCAAGTTCTCTTCTATTTTGGTCTCTCTTTGAAATTCTCGGGTGCTTAACACGATTGGAATTTGCGGCATTTCATGTTATCATTCTATTATGAGCACGTTGCATGTTTGATGAGAGCGGAAGGGGGCGGAAGCAGGAGGGACTCTTTGCTGAAACTGTAGCTAAGCGGCATTAAAAAAGGGGAGCGGCTCAAATTTTGCTTTCGTCGCACAGAACCAACTTAATATGTGAGGATTTTCCGGTGCAGGAAGGGCAGGGCAGCAGCTCTGCAAATTTTATTTTAAGTTTTTTTGCGAGAGTGCAAATTCAATTAATTCTGAACGGTTCTTGTCCTTCCAGAGATGGCAGTTCTGATATTGAATTCAATTACCCTAATGCGAAAACCTTGATTGAGTTCCAGTTGCAGATGGTTAAATGCGGTTGCAGTCTGCTTCAATGAAATGTGCCAGATAAATGCAAACAGATGGCCATTGAATGGGGTTTGGTAACAGTCCGAGTCTTAAGCTTTGACAAACAATAATCTAGGATGCATTTGAGTTAAAATAAAGCTTTAAATGTTGCATATCCAACACACATGTGACATATTTAAAAGAAACTACTAGTCTTTACTTCATTACTTCAGCACATGGGCAAGAATATCATCTAAGAACTCTAAGACATCTAGACTAAACGTAGGAATTCAGAGTTGTTTTTTTTTTTGGGTAATAGATTTAAAAGGCTTACAACAAAAATTCCAGTATGTGTTCGCTTAGGCTTGAGTGGAACTAAATTAAAGATTAGTTTGATTAGATTATCCCCTGGATGGAAAACGGGTTTTTAAAGAACTTTTAAAGTTATACCCAAAAAAAAGAAGGAATATTTAAGTTCTGAGTTAATATTGCAATCCTTGATCCCATTTCTATAAACATTAAAGTCTTTTATTTCCCCTTGGCTTTTTACCATTTGAAATTGGGCCTCAATTTGGTGGAAATTCGCGCAAAACGCATATGGGGGGAAAACTGTTACAGTTTTCGAACTAACCACGTGCATACAGCTTACGAGTATGTGAGCAAAACGACATGAAAGAGGAAATGTGTAGCGATGGGAAAATGTGTGTCGCTGGGTAGTGGGTGGTGGCGAAAGAGGCCGGACGGACCGTGCCTGTGTCAAGTGTAAATGAAATTTCCAATTTGGCTGCAAATGAAAGCAAAATGTTGTTGTTGTTGGCATGTATTGATTTTTTTTCTAGTCATCCCTCATACGCCAGCATGTCTCCCCTTGCCACTGCCCCCCCCCCCCCCCCCCCACGACAGCGATGCGGTTAAATAGTGTCATATGAGAGGGTCTGAGATGGTCTAGAGAGGGACTCGTGTTGGCTTGTGTATTTTGCGTTTTGTGGGTAAGGTCGCGTTGAAAGTGTCACAAAATGGGATGACAACAGAGCGCCATAGTATCTAGTCGCTTGACGGGTTTGTCATATATGTGGATACACACGGGGACACACATGCATTGACGCGCAACTCTCAAGAAGCTCTCAGGCGTCACTAGGATATTAAGACGGGCCCTGTCTATATATAGTCAAGGATTTATGCCTGAGACACGAATCGAATTGCTTGGAAAGGTAGAAGAAAATCAAGCATGTCTCTCCCTACTAAGTTTGAAGCATGGAATTTCTCTACTCAGATTTCAAACCAGTTGTTCCTTGGAAATATGCTGATTTCCATACGTAATTTCTATTGAATGAAAGCGTATTTGGGGGAAAACAAATGCAAAAATAATGTGAATCGCCAGCTGAAATTACCTGTGTCTGGCATACATACATACATACATATGTAGACAAATATCTGGAATAAAAATTGCTATCGAATGATTGATGGCTGAATACGAGGCACACTAAAACCTTCAATGGGGAAATGTTGTACCTGTCACAAGTGAATGCCACATTTTCATTGATATCGATTACATCACAAATAATGTACATTTGATTACACTTCCAAAGAATTTCCTTGCACACACAAAGAACCATGGCCTTTAATACTCTTTTGTACTCCAGATTACCAACACTTTGGTTCATTTTTAATTTCCAATAAGTGAAAGTTTTTCAATTACATTTACTTAATTTGCCAACTTGCCCCTAAATGTTCTTTCCACCTAATTAGTGGCACGTCAAAGCCCAAAGTTGTAACAGGGTTGTCTTGATTTTTACTACGAAATTTTCTGCACAGTGTCCCTAACTTTCCTAACGAGTTGTTGTTACACAGAAATTCATTAAAACTTGGAAGTAGTACAACAATCTCTAAAAGTTCTTTGATGCACATTTTTCCATCTTTGATAGATACGAAGTGGACAATGGCTCGGTTTTTCTTTTACCACAATCATACTCAAATTTCATGGCAGCCATTTCCATTAGCCATCAGCAGGATATAAGTACTTAAAAGAACACACGCTGTCACTTGACATACTCGTACCTGGGCCGGGAGTTTAATTACCCTCAGCCCCACTTTGCGTTAGGATTCGGTATTCATTACCATCTAGGCTAATTATAAGACGACCTCCTTAGACCTTCAACTAGGAATCCGTCGGCTTAAGGTTGCTTACATCTGGAATGAATTGGATTAGATGGCAGCCTCTTGGTGCGATTCAATCGGTTCCTGCCTTCACGATTGGCTTTATGTGGCGTGGTGGCGTTTGATATAGGTTCCGCTGTGAAAACATCCATCGATTATGTAACGACATTTGGTGCTGACTTTTATTTTACGGTTTTGTGCGCCTTCCCCAATCCCGACCTTCTCTCAGTGACACATTTTGTTTGTAATCGCTTAGAACATGTACTGTGTGTTGTGTTTTGTTCGCTTTTGTTATGGTATACACCCCACCTCACACACATGTCTATTATGTAAAATAGTTGTGTGAATAGTCAGCAGCTGAGGAAGAGGAATTTCGTAGAGAGGCCTGCAAATGGTCATTAGCTTCTGCCATTCCCCGATGCCAGCGATTAAACTTTGCATGTGAGCTGTTTGCTTAGTTGGCCAGGCAAAAAGTGCTTAAACGGAAACCCATACGATTATGATATCGGAGGTGTTTCTGTTTGGACAAGCTGAAGTGAGTCGAATGGCTGCCGATTGCCTTAAATAAACATTCAGCTAGTCAGAAGAGTGGTGGCAAATATTCCAAATACTTTGATTTTTTATGTGGGAAAAAAACATGTTGGTGATTTCTTTAGCTCAAGGATAACCAATGTAGGGCAATACATTATTCAAGAATTGATTAAGTGGGTTCCATTGATTCTACTTTAATAACTAGTACCAAGAAAGTGGCCTCCCCTTTTTTTAATTGAACCTTTTGACCCTTTTTTCTTATTTTTCGCTTAATAAATATGTTCCACTTACAACCCCTACCATGAGGATTAAGGCAGGAGATATTTGGCACCGCCCTTACCCACATTACAGCAGCCAATTGCCAACTGTGAGGCTGGGCCACTTTAGCAACCAACTGGCCTTAATTTAAGTATTCTGGCCCCAAGCCAAAGATGGTTAGGTCAGGCATATCATAATAATAGTTAAAAAACGTGAACCGAATACCCTGTTTTGATCAGAATTCGGATGAAGACAGCAACCGCGAGTATCTGAGCATTTCTAGTACAGTTTTATTCCCGAAACTTAGTGGAGGATTCAGTTACTTACCGCTTTGAAGCGAAAAGAAGGTGGATGCAAGAATGAAGCCCTCGATGGAGAATCGGGGCACTGGTCCTGCCTACTGACCCAGTTACTGGCGCTGGTTACTGCTTACTTGGGGGCTGTACTGCCTCTTAAATGCTCGTTAACGTTTCGCTTTCGGTTATCTTGAGGTTGGTCTTTGCCCAGACTATAGACCGTAGATGCCCCTTAATCGGTGGTTCCGGGGGTTACTTTGGCAGTGTTTTGATACCGAATCGCATGGATTACGCGCTATGATTACGCCGCAACAATAGAGCGTGGTGTCGTTGGGATACAATATTTATTTTTAAATTCTTTATCGATTTGTATCGCTGTGGCGGGTGAGGAGTCCGTTTTTGTTGAGGCTGTGTTCACACCTTTTTCTTTGCTCAATCAGTTAACTTCATTTACCTGAGCCCCCGTCGACTCATTAGCATCGGCCGACAAGCACATTTTTGATTAACTACTGGGGCTATATCGTATAAACACTGACTTTATCTAAATATAAATTATGCAGAGTTGCGAACTCTTTCGTTTTAGGGATACTTTGGGGCTAGTTAAATGCACTTTTGGGCTAAAACACAAAACTTAATTCTCACTTATTTCGCCGTTGAGAGAGATTGTTTAAAAATTGATTTGGTTAATTGGCTTGGGTTTCGTATTTGAGGTTTTTCCCTTTTCGCATCGGTAGCAGGTTTTCCCTTTTTGCAGTTTTCCCTCGACTCTCCGCCACCGCGCAGCGCAGCGCACGATAAGAACAGAATAGGAAAACACGTCCGTACACGAGAAAGGAGAACCTACAATTCAGTACACGGTCGTACAGCGATAGCCAGCGGGGCGAATGCGTCCCAACCGAGTGTAGGCTAATGGGGTACGGAAAAGTCGGTCACAGGCCTCTTTTCGTATTAGAGATTAGCGTGAAGAGCACGCGAGAGAGTAACTTAACTGGAGTGTCCACACCTTACAAGATTCTCTGCCTTGGGCTTGCCCGCACCCCCGCATCAACCGCATACAGGCACGCTTTCGCTCTCTTTCGGTATGGATTTGGCTCTCTGTTTTTACCGTATATTTTGGCGCTTTTGCACTCTGCCTCTTCCTCGCTCGTTCTCTTGGCGCCGCCGCCCAGCGCTGTCCTGTCTGTGACATTTACAATGTCAGAAGCCTCAAATCAAAGAGAAAGAGAACAAGAGAACAAGAGAGAGAGTGAGATGTAAGTGATGTGAGAGAGTGGGTTGGCTTTGGGGCAAACTAATTTGTTTTCGGCTTTATTTTTTGGCACCACGCTCCCACTCCGGTGGGAAACACCTTTGGGTTACTACGCGCTCTTTTGATTTTTAAGTGAGGGAACAAATGCATTTATTTGTCTTCTTTTTTTTTGGTTTGGTAGAGACATTCCGCAGTCATATGTTTTGGGGTTCGGTTCACCTACAGGGAATTGGGAATGTGTGAGCTGTGTACTGTTCAAATTTACCATGGCCTAAAAATAGATTAAATACCTTCTGTAAGTACACTTTCCATACACATCCATACAGATGCTGTACTCGAATTGTTATTAAAAGCCTTCTCATCAAACTCCACTCATGTGTGAGCGAGCGAAGGGCAAACATGGATCCCCATTTGCTACACCCTTACGATGGCCATCATCAGGTGGCCTGCCTGGGTTGCTCATGGGTTTTTCATTACGGGCGCGTGCCTCTGTCCCCTAGTTGAGCTCCGGCTGTGAAGACTGATAGCTGGCCCCGTCCCGGCCCTGAACTGAGGCACACTGCTTATAAAGCAATTCAATTGCTGACGTCGTCCCCAGCTCATTTGTCCAATTTGCATGCGGATCAAAGAGGTTCCCTAATTACCATGGGACAGCCCTCCGTCCGCTCCAACTTGACTGATGTGTCTCTTGTCTGTGTTTTGGTGCACTTGTTTATTATGTGGTTAACTTTGTTACTGGGTGCTGGTTGTGGCTTACAAACTACAGCCCTGGGGCCTATGATTTAAGTAAAGAAATTCTTGGATTGCGGATAATCGTGGTCCGTCTGCTGGAGACGCTGTCCGTAGAGTGGGTGATCGTGCTCCGCCTGGCAGGGATCTATGCTGGGAGTGGGATTTGGTGCCCGCATCAGTGCGGCTGCCTCCTCCTCGAAGTAATGCTGATCCTCATTGCTCTCCCTGTCATTGTTGTGGTGCTGCTGCTGATGCTGCTGTTGCTGCTGCTCCTCCTCTGAGCATCCCTGATATCTTGGTGGCGGAGAGGAACGGTTGCGTTGAACTGGCGCTGGTCCCGCACCATAGCTAGGTGCCCTCTGGGCAGAGCCATATCCTCCTGTCAGACGTCTCGCTGGCCAATTGCGTTGCCCCTGAGCTGGTTGGGTGGGTGCCTGCTGATACGGACTTGCCGGTGGATAAGGGCCCACCTGTGGATAGGGTGGACTCGCAGTCACATCGTCCACGCAGTCCACACCCCTTATAATGTTATTCATGTAGATCGAGTGGGGCAGACGCTGCCTGTACTTGGGCCTGGGTCGTGGCACAATCTGCTTGTTGCTCACGAAGTAGTCGCGACGCTGTGGCTGGGGCTGCGTTAATCCGATTCTCTGGCGCGGTTTGGCAAAGGAACCTTCGTACAGAATGGGTTCCACATAGTTCTTGACGGGTTTCCGAGAACGGGGGCCTGTCGGTGGCCTGGAGTTTGCTGTGAATCAATGGGAAAATTATGATAAGAAACGTTTTCTCTCGATCATACTTACAGTTGCTGTAGGCTGGCATAAACTGCGGACAGAGATTTGTGTCCTGATCATCGGTGTCTTCACAGGGCTCCTCCGTGGTTGAGGTGCCATCCATGTCAGTTGCTGAAACAAATAGATCTGAAATGCAGTTTAGACTCAGCTCCAACCACTGCAACATTCTGAACCAACAACCTTCTTCTGTTTCCTCTTCGGTTTCTGGGAAATATTCTTCTTTTGTTTCTGTTTCTGTTTCTGCTTCAGTTTCAGTTTCAACTTCGTTGGTGGTGTCTATTTCGTCTTCGCAACTCTCTTCAGTTGTCGTTTCCGGCTCGGATGTTGTGGTTGTTGAAGTCTCTTCCGCCGCCAGCCTCATTTCACCCACATCTTTGGGTAGAACGACGTGGATGACCTCGCTGGGTTGGCCATCGATCTTGATTTTGGGTGTGTCTGGAACACTCGCTTTGCCATTGGCTTTGAATGATATGTTAATAGTCTTTGATGGGTTGCCTTTCATTTTGTTCATTTGGTTTTGAGTTTTAGTTCTTTGAGTAGTGGTTGTGGGTTTCTCCGTAGGATAGCCACCATATTTTCCGGACTTGAGTCCGGGGTCCTCGTTTAGTGGCAGTGCTCTGGTGGTGCGCGGTGTGGCTGCTTTCTTTTTCGGTTTTTTGCTGGTTTTTCGGGTGGGTGCTGGTGTCGTTGTTGTTGTTGTCGTGGTTGTTGTTGTTGTTGTTGTTGGCGTTGTCTGCTGCTCTGTTGTGCTTGTCGTTTCCTCTTCCGCTTCGGTAGTGGTGCTGATCTCTGTTGTTGTTTCCTCCGTTGTGGTGGCCGCCTCCTCTGTGGTCGTTGCTGCGACTGTAGTTGTGGCTGCTGTAGTTGTGGTTCTCGGAGTGGTTTGCTTTTTGTTCTTTCGATTTGTCACTCTTTTCTTTGTGGTGCTGCTAGCCTCAGTGGATGTTGCCTCTGTTGTTGAAGTCGAAATTGTTGTGGAAGTTGTATCTGTTTTTGTGGTTGTATTTTCGACAGCGTTGGCCAGCACTTTTGTTGCATTATTTTCAGTACTTGGCGTTGCTTTCACTTCTTTTTGGTCAGTGTTGGGCATCGCTTTCACCTCACTCTGAGTCCTGGCGTTCTTAGCCTTTGTCTTGGGATCGCATTTCTTCTTGGGTTTTGGCTTCACAGTTGTTTTTGGGATCTCTTGTGCCAGTGTGAAGTTGGCGCATGGATCGTGCTTCAGGAGTGGAGCCCGCAGCAGGATCAGTCGCAGAAAGCAGGGATGATTAATGGAATAATCTTGCACCACTGCCGGTTCACAGGGTGGCAGAAAGTCATCACACTCTACGCTCTCCTCGACATCGCCGAACATGTTGAAGTCTTCCTCGGAATCGTTTTCATCGCAGCCAATCGATGAAGCTGGTAGCACGGAGATGTCCCTTAGCATGCGTCCACTATTCGGGTATCCATCTCCATCCCGGAGCATCATCTCCAGCAGTTCCATATCTTCTTGGTCCATGGGGGAGCTAGGTTCCAATTTGCATTAGTTTTTGCAACATTGGACTCATGTTTGACAACTCACCTTAACACCGAAGTTCCAGAAAGCAACAGCAATAGCAGCATCATCTTCATCATTGTCGTGGGAGTGCTTCTCGCGATGGTTTCCATGGAACTGTGGCCCCAACTCGATCGACATTTGGCTTTTGTTGACCATTTTTCTAGTGTCGAAAGTCAAATGGTCGTCGGCACACGTATCAGAACGCTTTTGCTCTCTCTTTCTGCCAATTGAGACATCGTTCTGGCTCATCTGTAAGCACCCACCCGAACACACTTCGCCCTTTCCGCTACCATCTGTAAAGAGTTCATTATTTTGTGATCAGCTTTCTCATTAGAACTAACCGGGCTGGCGCTCTCCATCTGGATTTCTGTCTTGTCTGATCTGTTTTCACTTTCGTTCAGTACGTGACTTCTGCTGAGATCGGCATTATTTTTGTGTGTTTTGCTTTACCTTTTTGTTGGCGCCTAGGGGCAACCTACCCTAGAGGTGATAATCTCTTAGAGGGTATATATGGCTAGAGATACAAGGCTGTGTTGGGATTGTTGGACTTTAATGTGCTTCTCTTAACAGGGTACTTAACTGTCGCTGCTCTCTTTTATTTTCTGCACTCGTTCTCGTATTGTGTTCGCTTTTTATTTAATTTGTTTTTGAATGTTACCATTTGATTCAACATCTCATCTGACTTGTTTCCGTTTTATGTTAATTGCTTTTATCGTTAATTGCATTCGTGTTGGGAGGAGCCAAGTGGGAGTAGACTTAGGGGGAGGTTTACGGAGGGAGGGCACATCTTTTGGCCCCTTGGGGGTCTCTTACTAAGTAATTAATACCCTCCGAATTTTTGTGGTTGAGGCTTCAGTTTATTTTTGCGGTATTCCAGGAGAAACATCTGTTCAATTTGAAAAGCAGTCGGTGACTGTTCGGATGGCATATAAAATACCAAAGAAAGAGGATAAGAAACACTATGGCCAAGTAAGTATCTGGTGACTAGGTTATTGTTGTGACTTAGAACAATCATATTAGGTTACATTTTGAATTGTTCGTGATTGTTTTGTTTCGTAAATATGTGAGGGGAAAAGGTTATGATATAACGCGAATTGAATTGTGTTCTTAAGTTTCGCATTTTGATGCCCTGACAATCTTTTAGATATTATTTTCCTACTTCATATCATGTGTGCATTTATTAAGATACATCCAAAATATTTCACTTGTTTTAATATTCACGTTAAAAGTCTGCGGATGTTTCCTGTCACATTCCCACATGTCAGAGCTTAGAGGAAGAGAAATGCGTGTTGAGTTCTTGACTCGACTTGTCATTACCAAATGGAATTCGTGTGTAATTTTTCGTTTCCAACAGATTTTTCAGCTGCTTTACGTAAAACGACGTAAGCGCTTGGGGCGAAGGGAAAACGCTTTCTTTTCCGATTTCCTCTCTCTCTCTCTCTTTGGCAATCAATATTTGCCTCTGGGCGAAACGTTTTCCAATCAAATGGCAACCAAAAAAACGAATAAACTTAGCAAATATTGTTTTTGAAATGATTATTAAATAGAAACCGCAGGACAAGCGACCCTGAAATGAGTCTTGAAGAGATTGTCCTTTTGCTATTGTCATGCTGAACATGCAACAGTTTTTGGGCTCGCAACACGAACCATGTTGACAGAAGCATATCAATGTCACAGTGGTTTAGCGGCAGGCAGGCTGTGGGACAGATGGCTAGACTTCCAGGCAAATAATGGAACACGAAATGAGACATATACAAGTTAATTTATGGGAAAATGCTGTTCTGGTTAGAGCTCGATGAGGATTTAACCTGACACCTGGGCTTCGGGGTGAGGGCTCTAGGTCTGACGTCTGAGGTCTGAGGTCTTCCGTCTCGTGTTAGGCAATGTCGCGTGGACATCGTGAGCATTCAATTTGGCAAATCGATGGAAACCAGTTATCTAACAACACTTATCGCTGTGGGCCGCTGTTGTGGCTGTTGTTTCTTGGGCATGGGACTTGGTCCCCCTCGGTTCTGCCGAGGTTGAGGCTGTTGAAACTGCCGCAGGTGGGACGAAGTACACACACTGGTGACACTGATATCTGCGATCAATGTAACCCTCCGAAAGTTGATAAGAGTTTGCCATTTTGTCATTGACTCGACTGCTCAAAAATAATGGATGTATCGACATTTTTTTATGACAGGAATACGTTAATTGCCGAAATGTGTGTGCATATCTTTCTTTTCTCTGTTTCTGGGCCGACGTCGTCCAATCGAAATCGAACTGCTGACTCACATTTGTTTAAATTAATGTTTTGATAATGTCTGAATATTTACTTAAGAATTTCAAAGAACTGTTCGGATTCATAGAATTGCCTCCTGCTGTTGATATCATACTTGCGTCTTAATGCCCATACATAGATAACAATGGAAAACATTTCCAATGATTAATATTTAAATTGCGCCACCAAAAAACGGCAAAAAATGTAACCCGAAGTTTATAAATTCGCTACTTTGCTTGGAAACTTTCTTAGCCACATGGTCTTGGCAACATGTATGAAATTATCAAATTAGCAACATGCTTCCGCAACATCTAGTTTGTAGATATATATCGATATCGCCTTAGTATTCGATAGCCGTAACCGATTCAACCGATTCGGTTCAAAAGTAAGCGCGATGTTCAAACCCTGGCCTCCAGTGGTAAGAGCAGAATCAGGATTAACCCCCAGGTTGCAAGTGACTTAAAAAATGTCTTTGATAAGACTGGACCTAGTTTTTATTTTTATGTGAAACTTTTTATTTCATTTCATTTTTTGTGATTTTTTTTTGGTTTGTTTTGTATGTTTAAATACTTATTAAAATGATCTGATCTGGTGACCAAATCCTTTTGTTTATTCATCTCTCGTTTTTGTTGCAGTGTGTGTGTGTTTGTGTGTGTCTGTGTGTGTGTTTGTTTGTTAGCATCTCCATTGTTTTTTTGTTGTTGTTGTTGTTCTTTGTGTGTCAGTGTGTGTGTATTATTTTTTTTTTGGATTTTCCTTTTCGCTAAAATGAAATTTTTGCCATTTTTTTGAGATTTTCTTTTGCGGCGGTAGAGCTAACTTTTACATTTTTTTTGTTACTATATTGGGGATTTTACATATATATAATAAGAGATAGATGTATGTATGCATGTATGTGAGTATGTATTTGCATGGGCATGTGTGTGTGGGTGTGTGTGTGGTGTGGAGCCTACTTTTTGGTGCGCTTTAACACGCGTTTTACATATCATTTTCGTTCATTTTGCTTATCATTTCGTGAATATTTTTGTTGAGTTTTGCTTAGTAAGGAATGGAAAAAAATTACAAGCATTGATGGAAATCAACTTTACAAATTACATTTTCAAAAAGCACAAAGGGGAAGAGATAGCGAGGGGAGAAAGAGAGGAGGGAGGAGGGTAGCAAAAGAGACAGACAGAGTAAGAGGAGGAGTCAGAGGAGTTGCCTATTTACAAAAGTATTTATCCTCATATCGCTGGCAATAGTCGCAAATCAGCTGGCAGCAGCGTCCATTGTTGAAGCGGCAGCGACACTTTTCCACCTGCTTGAAGACCTGCGTGGTGTAGCCCCTGCCGCAGCACAGATTCGAACAGTTCTCGGGATGCAGACACTGGCGATCCTTGGTGACCGAGCAGTAGGTGGGCGAGGTCTCCAGATAGTACAGTGTCGTATATTGTGATTGTTGTGGCTGTTTCGAATACATATAAGAGGGCTACATGGGTTATACTTGGAGCTGTAGCTACAAGAGAGCAGCGATCTGCCCCTTGGGGAGCGGAACTCACTTTCTTGCGTCGCTGTTTGGTTTTTTTCATGCGACTTGAGGGCATCTGGCGCTTGGTCCGCTGATTGGGAGCCTTGCGTATGGCCTGGTTGTACTTCTGTCGCAGCAGCGTGGCCGTGGCATTGAAATCGGCCATCTTCTTCCAGCAGGTCTTCATCGAACAGGAGCCGGAGACGCCATGGCATTTGCATTTGTCCTTCATTAGCGAGGAGACGGCTTCAATGCCAACCTTTGGAGTTTAAAATAATCCATTTAAATGCATCCAAATTAGCTGATTGCAGTTGACATTGCAGTTGCTTACCTCAGAGTCATGTCGCAATATCTCACTGACTTCGTCTCCATCGCCGCCACGCAAATCGAGGAAGCTGCGCGTCACCCGCTTGCCATGCTTCAAATTGTCGTTGCAGCCGCCCCACTGAAAGTCCTGGTCCACTCGGTTCTGCTTGCGCGGTCCACAGCTGCACTTGGTCATCCTGCCTTCGGCACAAGCCCTGGCTATCGAGTGCGTCATGGCAGCCGCTGTCAGGGCATGCACGAACGCCGTCTCCTTGTACAACTTCTTGAAGATGTTCCGCTTGCCGCGCGTCTCAATGGAACAGTTCCAGCGATCGTAGCGGAACTGATCCTCGCAGTGGGTGGTAGCCAAACGACGAGCCTCGCTCAGGGTGCCTGGCAGACCCGTCTCCTTGCGGCACTGATGATTCTGCCGCCTCGTGGCAGGCATATAGCGACAGGGTCCACCCACTTGTCCCTGGGACGTGAAGACAGCCATTACCGTGTGCTCCGAAATAAAGTGTTCGCTGGAAGAAAGATAATAATATTAATAATGAATAATAAGATTTCAAATAAATAAAGTGCTCTGTCCCGCTCAGTGGCGTCCCATTATGTCATTATTCGAACTACATATCAGTTTCATACCAGCCAGCCCTTGATAGAGTGTAGTTCGATAAAACGATATCGATTTCTCTAAGCGCGATTATTAAATGTTTTTCATTTCTCTTAATTTTCATTTTCAGTTCTCTTCCCTTTTACTTCATTTTGCTTTTAATTTCCACTCCGAGATAAAAAAACCCGCTCAAAGCTCTTTTATTTGATTTTTTAGTTACAACAATCTTATCAGCAAGGCAGTCTTCTGGGAATAACCGAATCTTTTCATTTGAATTG